TTCTTAAATTTTTCGTACAATTTCCAAATCAAGAGGTGCACTTTAAAAGAAGTATTCCTTTAAATGTTAGGGTGCATGAAAATCATGACATCTGTCTAATATTTTGATAATTATTCTATATGCGCATATGTTTCAGAAACTTGTCAATAGCTCATTTGAAGCGTGGAAAATTTTCTATCTTTCTATGTATGGGCTTTGGTCAAAGTCTTGGAAATTGTACGAAAAATTTAAGAAACAAAGTGAATGACCTTCCTCGAATTAGGGACGAAAACTGGTAAGAAATAACTCTTTCAAGGGGATCAGGAGCAATTTTTGAAAGTCAGAAGTATCTGGAAGTAAAATAGGAGGCATTTGCGATCATTTTCTGAGAACGGAGCTGGTTTTGCAAAGATCCTCTAGAAACCCGATCTCTGAAATTTTTTCAAAAGTTGCTTCCGCTTGTAGAAAGTTCTGCTCAAGTCTTATCCGCTTACAACGTGCTTAATTTTAAGACAAGAAGTTGCCTTGACTTCAGTCTAGGGTCTTACAGAATAGTTGTTTGCAGGCTTTCTAATGAGAATTTTGAGCAGCGCGTACATAAGTGTGGTAATTCGTTCGATTTTATTCGTTATATTTTATTAATTGTGTGTGCCTCGTGTAAAAGGGTCGTAGATCTCTATACGATAACAGAATTTTAGAAGGTACGGCTTGCTTGATTAACACGTTGACCATAAGAAAAAAGTAATACTTGTTGTATGCCCACTTTTAATTCTTTTAATTTTAACGGATATTATTATTTTTGGAGTGTATTACATTTATATAGCACAAAAATAAGTTTTAAACATAATTTAAATGTTTTTCTTTCATGCATCACATATGATTCATCTGAGAGACAGATGAGTCATCAGACCAAGTACTTCCTTTATTTTCTCTGCACATGTTTCACGCCAAAATTATCTATCTTGTAACGTTTATCAATACTTGATTCAGCCCGATTAAAACGAGTGCAGTTTTTCTATTTTACTTATTTTGTGGTGATTTATACATATTGGCAAGTAAGTAAAAAGTGAAATATTTTCTTGTAGCATGTTATAAATGTAATAACTATATTTAGAGAAGAATGGCTTCCTCGAGAAAACCTCTTACTGAAGAAGAACTAGGACGATATGCAGAAGCAATAATGAGTGAAAGTAGTGATGACTGTATTCAGGATCCAAATTTTGAATTAACGGATAGCGAAAATGAAAATGAATTTTCGGATAATTCTGAATCTGAGCCAAATGTAGAGAGCAGAGAAACTGAACTTACATTTGAAACAGAAAATGATTGCATTACGGACACTTCTAATCTAAATTGGATTTCGAATGTTGAAAATCTAAATAGATTAGTGTTTACCGGAAGTGGAGGTATACAATTTCAATTTTCTACTACGGGCCCAGAAGGAAAAATTACACCATCTGATATATCTTTTACTATAATTGATGATAATGCATCATATGTGATGCATGGACGTCTCAGTCAAAAGTTCCGTGCATCACATATGATGCACCGGACACTCAACGTGTTAATAATAATTTGTTGGTTATTAGGTATTCAAAATACAGTGCAATTCGTCTATAGTGAACCTTTAGGAGACGTGAAATTAGTCGGAAGAAGTATTTTAAATTAAAGTTTTTTTCTACTTTTTAGCAACTAAAACTACATTTAAAAAAATCAGTACGGGTGAAAGAACTAAAATGAATAGAAAAACACCTAGCGGTGCCTCAAAACGTACTAGTGCAGCTAGTGAAATTAAAGATGTAGAAGATAATGAAAACATTCATGAATTTCACGACCAGGAACACAGCATATCCATTACCGACTTAGACTCTGATAGTAGCAGTATCATCAGTGATAAAGATGATAATCCTGTGATAAATGAAAATATTGCAAGAGAAGCTATAAGAAATGACAATATAGAATATGAAGACCCCAACACATGGCCAATTATTTTGAATGAAAAACCAATTGATGATATAATAAAGAACCTTCCGGTGCAAAATTTAGATGAATTAGATTTTTCAAATTCAAAAATTGTATCAAAAAGTCAAAAGAGGTACGCATCAAAAAATATTTTTTTCCGAACACTGTTAAATGGAGAAATTAAAAGAAGGGAATGGCTTGGCTTCTTTTGAACATAAAATAAACGAACATGTCAGATTGACATGTTCGTTTATTTTATGTTCAAAAGAAGTTGTGCGGATTATGAGTTTATTCAATATTCTGCTCACTTCGTGAATTAAAACTAAAATAATTAGAGAGGATCCTTTTCCGCCTTTTATACTAATCCAAAGCACACAAGTTGTACTATATATTGATCTGTTTTTTAGAAAAAGACCTCTTTCAGTTTCTTTTGGTTTTAATTAACGAAGTTGACAGAGTACGGAATAACTTACAACTAGGGCACATTAGATACGCACCGATTTCGGTTTCAAATCGAAAAACCGATGTTTGGTTTAAATCAACACCGAAAAAACTGGACATTGTCGCATTCAAGATATAACGCCACAAATAACACCTCAACTTCCGACCAAAAAACCGGCCACAGAAAATGAATCACTACCCAGCACAGTGACCACGCAGCCACTGAACTATTCAAATAAAGATACCATTTATACATTCTCTACATGTGAAAGGATGCCACATGACATTCGACTTGAGTGGAAATATTGCTGATGTCAAGGGGAAGAACTCGGGAAGAAGCGACTCAATGATCACGCAGCTAAGGATTACTTGAAATTAAGCGTTTTCATGTAGATGGTATTTCTTTTCGTGTTTCACCGATAATTTTAAACGATGATCTGGAATGAAGGAGAACTTCCTCTTTGTGTGGAACATCTGAGCATTTTTATATTTTTATGCCTCCCAAGTCAGTTGCGTCGATAATGAATAGAGTATTCCCAAAAGCTTCTGCTTGTTTTCACTAGTTGAAGTAATACATCTCAGCACCTTTTTAGTCCAATCGGTTCTTGATAAGATTTTATCATATTTGGATCCATGGTTGCGCCTCGATAGCTTGTGGCTTGATAGTGGTTACCATTGCGTAGCCAAGAGTTTAATAAGAGGAAGGAAAATGGGGCGAGAGTATCTACTTTGGTGGTATCATTTTGTCTCGTTGTTGTGTTCAGTAGTTTGTATAAAAAGATTCCTTTGTGTATATCAATGCATAGCCTATATCGAGATAGTAAAAAGACCAAAAAGGATGTATCCCCATGGCTCTTGAAGACCCGGTTTTCTGAAAAACCAGTTTTTCAGAAACTCTAAAAAAATAACCAAAACCTTTCTTAATAAGACGTGATTGTAGCCCGCACATTACTGATTAAAATGAGATCTCCCAGCTCTACACGACCTTTCTTTGCAAAGTTAGAGAATTTACAAGAAAAGTCCTGAATGTTCACTGCCAGGTCAAAGCTACAGAAATAAGACGAAATTAATTTAGGGTAGCGCTATTGCCACCTTCACAGGTGGCAGCAAGGAGCAATTATCACCTTCGGAAGGTGTCAACAACGGCTATTACAATTTTTAACCTATCACGTTTCGGAACGTAGAAAAGAATAAAACATATATTAAAATATTCAACCTATGAAAGATTATCCACAAAACATTTTCCGAAAGCTCTAAAAACGGGATAAAATACACCATACAACTAAAGCAGAAAAAAATAAGGAAATCGTGAAAAATAATTTATTATGAGCTGAATACCATACATACCTGCAGCTCCTTATTAGAGAAGTAAAGCTAATTGACTAGACAGAAGTGTTTTTGCAATTGAAAATTCATAACTAATCTAAAATATTTTTAGATGATAAACAGATCATGCATGATGCTAAAACGAAACACTAGAAACAATCTGTGCGTGCTAAATGCATAAGTAGCAGCTTTGAGCACTCGGTCTGTTACGCACTGAGAATCAGGTACAGTCAACGCTGAAAGAGATCTTCATTTTTTCCAAAATCACCTTGGATTAATAACCTGCTAACGATCAATACTCCAAAGCTTCGTACAGCCACGACGACGGTAAACCATGGCAACCAGCTGAAATCTGTTGATTCAGAAAGCCCAACATTACCTCAATAAACTCATCGATTTTCTACCACGGGCGAAAAAGAAATAATAAGTCAACCGCCGCCGACACTTTTATCGTCTAACACCGCTAGCTGTGGGACCGCTAATCATCATACAAATATGCACTCACACTTGTAAGCTAGAATGCGGCAATAGCCGCTACTGACACCTTCGGACGTAATAGTGAACAAGAAGGTACCAATAGCCGTTGTTCACACCTTCGGACATAATAGTAACTGAAAGGTGGCAATAGCCGTTATTGACACCTCCGGAAGGTGGCAATAGCTCCTTGGTGACACCTCTGAAGGTGCCAATAGCCGTTGTTGACACCTACTGGAGGTGGCAATAGCTGTCAGTGACACCTTCCGAAGGTGGCAATAGCTCCTTGGTGACACCTCTGAAGGTGCCAATAGCCATTCCGATTAATTTAGGACTTTTTGTGTAAATTCTATAACTTTGCAAAGAAAGGTCATGTAGAGCTGCGAGATGTCTCATTTTACTCATAAGACCACAATCATGCCTCATTAAGAAAGGTTTGGGTTATTTTTTTAGTATCTGGAAAGCTGGTTTTCCAGAAAACCGGGTCTTCAAGAGCTATGGGGATAGATCCTTTTAGGCTTAGCCTATTGTAGTCTATATAGTAGAACTGCAACAAACAGCGCTTTTCTTTTCTTACTTTGTGTTGATAGAATACACGTTTTTCTCGTCTTTATTTTGGTCGTTTCATTTCTTTCCGTTTCTATGTACTTATTTTCGAATAACTAAGAAAATTTTAATACAAAAATTTTTAAATTTTCAGCCAAATGTTCACCTAACAAAGACTGAACTCGCATGAAAAATTACTCGGTGAAAATATATTCAGTGTGTGTGGCTAAATGACAGTCGATTACACCATGTTTTACTCGGGCTTTTCTTCGAGAACATGGTGTAATCAAGCTTCCCAATATAAATATCTCTATGTGGCAAGAAAAAGTTATATTAGTGGAAATCTAGAAAATAGAAAAGTTTTCTGCTGCTACCAACTCGCAAAATAATAAATAAGCCTCAAACTTAGTGTGAACATACAGTAATTTCGAATTATCACCTTTTTGCATGATGATCTCGAAGAAAAAACCGAGTAAAACATCGTGCAATAAAGTTAGTAACTTGATTGCTGCAGTTCTTCAAAGGTATTAAGATCAACAGGGGAGAACTATAAACAAGTTCGTTAAAATATGTAGAGCAGACGATAAACATTCACTCCACCTCTTGGTATCTTTTTCAGACTTCTGCCAAAACGCTGTTCTTATTTTTTACTATTAATCTTTAATTTCTATGAAAAATGTTTTTGAATAAAGCATAATTGTTGGTTAGTTCCTCACGGAAGGCGACTTTCTTTTTTTTTGGCAGAAGTCTGAAAAAGATACCAAGAGGTGGAGTGAATGTTTATCGTCTGCTAAAAAGCACATGAACTCATCCTGACCAAAACATCAAAAGAAGTGAGTTACAGCTCCTGCTGAATTCGGATATCATGTATTTCGCCGTCGTACACTTTCGCAGCAGATTTTCGACAATTGCCGAAAGTTGCATTTTCGCCGGACTTTCGCCGTATTTCGGCAGTTTGCCGTTGCTTCACTAAAAAAATTTTGCTTACCTTTTGAATTATCGGTATCTTACAGTATGAAATAGACAGAAGACCTTGACTTTTTCCTTTTCCGTGCATATGTTCTTCTTCAGCTTACACACCAAGATCCGAGGAAAAAGAACGCGAAGAGGAACAGGAAGCAGAACACATGCACTGAAAAGTCATGTTTTCTATCTATTTCAGATAGTTATTTCTTATCCATACACGGCGTAAGTGGCGAAAAGCAAAACTTTCTTTTTCTGCATGATTGCTTTTTCTTGATGAGAATAGAATTTTATTTCATGAAAAATTGTACTACTATCAGCTGTACGAGAGCTACTTTTTTACATTTAATATACAGTAACGTATTCGATATTTATTGCTTTTTTTAGTCTAAGGACAACGAAACACTAACGACTAATTGATGTAGAATACAGTAATACTTTGTTTTCTACAAATTAATCTTTTACCCTCGAAGGAGATTTTTCGAAGATCCGGGAAATACGACTGCTGAAGTGCAGCTGTTGATTGCTCAATACTGCCATTCCATAGTTAAAATAAAGTTAAATTACTTAGGTGGCAAAATATAGAATGTACACATCTGTGGATTTTAGGGCGGGAGTGTCATAGAAAATACTGACTTTTTGATTTTACATTATTTTTTAATTTTATCACTGACATATTAATACAGCATTTTCTCTAAACAAGCATTTCATCACGTTTTCATCGGCATAGCATTATATATTGAAGATAATATAAGAAACAAAAATTTGAAAATAACTGCAGCTCCCTTCATTTTCGCTTATGGTTAAAAGTCTGTTAAAATTAGAGAAACTCAAATTTTGAAATATACAGTTTTTCGATCTGTTTATTTATACGAGCATTTGTTTTATACAGAATGTTATACTTCAGTAAAAAAACAAAATGAGTTAAATAAATACATATTTCTTCTTTCTTTTTCTTTCCTTGTACGTAAGACAAAATTGAAATACAAAAAACTTAATTTTCTACTTGTTCCCTACATACCAAAGGTGAAGGGACAAGAGAGAAAAACAAAAATATTCTTATGTCGATTATATTCTGTTGCCAACGCCCAGAGTACTGTATCACCGACTAAATATTTTCTCTTTGATACATTTTATTCATTTCGTTACTTTTGAAAAGATAGGGTAGCTAAACACACACCAGAAAACAAAAAAGGAATATGTATACATTTAACCCGTTTTATTTTTTACTGCAGTATAACGTTCTGTACAAGATAAATGGGCATCAATTTTTTTTTTATCACCAAAAAAAGATACTTTTGATCACCAAATTTTTCGGCATGTATTTCACATTTTTATCTCTCAACAAAGTATAATGTACAACACAACCGTATTCATTGTGATTTTAACCAAATGAACAATAACGCTGTGCTAACTTTCATGGGACAAAGCCATTGAATATAGCCCACCGACGAGAACGATAAATACCTAGCCAATGACACATTCAATAGTTTTCTGGTGTGGCAATAATCCTGTTGACTTGTTATACCATTATTAGTATATTCGTGTAAATATTCTGTTGGATTAGCAATTTTATTTAACTTGTATCTAGCTAGCACACGTATTCAACCATTAGGCAAACGAAAACCAAAAGGGCGTCCCACGAAAGTTAGCACAGCGTTATTGTTCATTTGGTTAAAATCGCAATGAATACGTTTGTGTTATACATTATACTTTGTTGAGAGATAAAAATGTGAAATACATGCCGAAAAATTTGGTAATCAAAAGTACATTTACTCACGATAAATGCTTGGCAATGACCGTATAAATAAATAAATAGATTGAAAAATTTGAGTTTCTCTAATTTTAATAGACTTTTAACCATAAACGAAAATGAAGGGAGCTATAGTTATTTTCAAATTTTTATTTCTTATCTTATCTTCAATATATAATACTATGCCGGTGAAAACGTGATGAAATGCTTGTTTAAAGAAGATGCTGTATACCGATGATAAAACTAAAAGAAAATGTAAAACTAAAAAATTAGTAATTCTATGTCACTCTCTCCATAATCTCCACAGGTGTGGACAATCGATTTCTTTAATTGGTACATAAGAGCAACTTGACAGGTATTTTCTTTTTCCGTTCAGTTATATAAAACATCGTTATAGCAATAGTAATCAACCCTAGAGGAGAAAAGCAGCTCCCTGTATCACCATGAACCCAATGGAACTCAGTGAAGCTGAGTGGAGCGCAGTTGAACCCAATGGAGCAGGCGGCAGCTGTACAGCTCCGGTGGTACCGAATGGCTCCATATGAGTTTCAATGAGCTCCACTCAGCTCCAGTGAGCTCCGGAAGGTGAGAGCTCATTGTAGTTGAGTAGAACTGAATGGAACTGATTGAAGCTCATTGGAGATCATGCGGAACTGAGTGAAGCTGCTTGGAACTCATGTGGAACCATCTAGTACCACTGGAGGTATGGAGCTACTCTTCCCCCCCTAGAATCAACCGCTAGGTCTAAAAATCCTTCCGTGGCCCAATCTGTAGGAAAAGTTTTTAAAAAACTGAAAAGTTTGAAAACTCTTGAATTTTAAAAGTTAAATATCTCGGCCAAGATTAATGGAAAAATATTCTGTTTTTAGCAACTGATCGATTATAATGCCTTTTAGGTTAGAACAACAGTCGATTTTTGATACGATGCTTCATTATTTTTCTATATCAGTTTTATCAAAGCAACCATTTTTGTTCATTTTTGAGAAGAAAGAACTTCACAGTTGCGCGACTCATTTTCTATTCCGTAGTAAAAGCATTTCATATGTCCGCGCGATCAAGTTTATGTTTCATTATTCTACGAGTTAGTTCAATTTTTACGATAAGCGCGACTTTGAACTTCTTTCTTTTTAAAAATACAGAGCATAGAAAATGCCTCCAATACTGATACAGACGATGAACGATAAGGTGGCTTTTTACCTTTACTCTTTATACTATGCACTAGATGCTCTTGGATTGCTATATATACTATATATATGTTATAGAGTATATATACATACTGTTAAGTATCACGTGATTATTAATTATCTTATAGAGAAAACGACAAAGTTCTTGGAAAAAACGCTTGACTTTGTGGACTCATTGTGAGCTAACTAAAGCTTATTTTCCAACATGACGTCAAATGTGGCATCTGCACCACTTATAGATTTGAGTCGTCTTTTCCCCAAATCTGTGCACATAGGCATAACCGAGAACCAGTGGCAGACTCGAAAGAGAAAACACAGTGTGGAAAGAAAGAAAGAACTAGATGCCAACTGCCAAACCCGATCGAGTAAAACGTATCTCAGAAACACTTTAAACGCTGCTTGAATCCCTCAAATACGATTAGAACACTGCAGTGCTCTACTAGTCAACATATTATTGCATTCTATCGGTAGTAATGTTACAAACTATAAATGCATCAAACTATACAGAAGTATAGACTCATAAGTAGCACATGACTAAAAAGTACAGTAGGTCAGTGACCTGCTGAGCGACTCATCTGGATGGATCCGTTTTACCTACTGAGATGATTTTACTCACTGGTGACCCACTTTCTTTTTCACAGTGTAGGCTTTGTAAAGACTATCTGATCTAACACTCTGTATACTATAATTATTTCTGCGGCAAATTCTTTTTCTAGATATACTTTGAGTTATGGTCGCACAGATGAAGGAATTAGAAATGATCTTGGGCTACAATTTCAACGATGAAGAACTACTGAGACAAGCGTTAACGCGTGGGAGTGCAATTAATGAAAAAAATCCTGATGCTAGTGAAAAATCATTCGAGACACTCGAATTTGTAGGAGATGCAGCACTGAAGCATGCTATAGCGCAATTATTATACAGAAAACATCGTGAAAATAGTACAGAATATGTTCTGCATATGGGCACTGTAGAATTGATAAAAAACTCATTCTTGTCAACCATCGGAAAAGAGATGCAACTGGAAAAATTCCTTTTGATGGGAAAAGGGGAAAAAAACTTGACAAACAAGGATAGATTACTTGCCGATGGAGTTGAAGCTATTCTTGGTGCAGTTTCACTTGATACAAATAGTAAAAATGATTTGCTCGATGTGGTGCTTCGTTTTTGGAAACCATATTTAGAGCTAAGTACATCGCATGCTTTGCAATTTTGTTTAAAAGAAGCTAACACAGACCACAAAGGCTACACACTTAAGTCTTCGAATGGCAATGTCATTACTTATGGCAAATGCGGAAAGATGGACTCTATCCCATGGAAGATGTGCATCTTTGTCATGCGTTTCATACTGCTGTTGATATTATTATACGTATCACTTGTCATTATGAGTAACCTTCCAAATTTATAAACTAAAAATAAAATAACTGTATATCATCAATTTCGTAGTGTGGAAGGTTCTATACTACAATACTCTTTTTTGTTAGCAGAACTCATTTCAATGTACTTCAATCAAAGTCATAATAAACTCATAGTCACAGATTAACATTGGTTTTCAATAGAATGCAAATACGTTATTCTGTCGGTTGAATCTTATGCCAAAGTTATATGACATGATTTGTGGGCCGATCGAGAAACATAATGACACAAAGCAAGTGTTTCTCGTTTAAACTACCTCCATTAGATAGAACTTACAAAGGTAGATATACAAAAGCCTTCGTAGACTTTAGAAAGAACGTGAAAACCTGAATGATAAAATGTACTTTTACATTTTCTTAGCATAGAATTTACAGTTAAATATACTGATTCTTAAAATTTTTCAATTTTAAATAAAGCGTTGTTTCTACTGAATCTCCAATGACACTTATTAGAACTTTCTAGATACAAGTTAAAATAAGTGGGTTTGTAGCGACAATTCCTCGTGTTTATGAGTAAAATATTGAGATATATATTTATTAATCTTCCAATTTTTACCAAAGAAAGTATTTGTTGTTTTTTAATTCAGTAAATCGATACCTATCCCTTTAGCCACCTGCAGTAATTATCAGTTTGATGCTGTGAAAGAGCAAAACTGTGCGATCTCGTTATAGATTCTCGAATTTGTCCTGATAGAAGCTCTCACACTAGTGAAATTTTTCAAAATAGACTCATATCTAAAAACTCATATCTATATATTTTTTTTAAATGACAGCACCAGCTCAGTCACCTGAAGCATTGAAGCTTTGTCCTGTTTACGATATTTTTTAACAATCCAAAATGTGCTCCATACGTCAGGATTAATTTAACACCCACTCTCTCTCGTCTTTGACACCCGCTTTTTTCGCAGACTACACGTCTCGTATCGACAACGATGTTTGACGTATAATTAAACGCGCAAAACGGTTTGGTAGCAAACGGGATGTATACTACAGGAGAAAAGTATCCCACTTTCTGATTTCCAAGGCCATTGCTGTTTTCTTATTTCAATTGTTGACAAAAGAAAAGGCAACATATAGTTGTACTGGCCGTGATACGAGAATATAGTAACTTCTCTTTTCTCTTTAAACGAAACATAACACTTCTGTCTTTGTTTTAACAGTGAACTTTGAAATAAACTACTTTCAATTAATATTAAACTCTAACTACGATCATTCCATTTAAAGTGTTTCGATTGGACATTGGATATCTGCAGTAACCAAAACTAGGACAATCTTTTGTTCGCTTTTAATTGTTTAATATTGCAGGAAGGAGGCAGCAGTTAAGGCTGAAACTTTTGTTTTCTTTGTACCGGTAGTGCTACTACATACTGGCAAAGTTTGATCAACATCTGAGATGAAACCCCAGACTTCTTCCTAGAGGATTGAGAGTCCGGTAATTGCAGGGTAGGCTTTCACGTCACCTATATTGACTATTATTAATAATTAAACAACACAATTTTGGTAAACATACCAGGCTGAAGCCGAACAGAACTAGACGTGTGAAATTTGAATCGAACCGATCCAACTTTTTATACGTTTGTTTCAAAAAAAAAGTCTTTAACATCCTCACCATCGAATACGAAGAAACATGTGGCTGTGGCGTGTGAAAGGACAAGAGGTAGTTTGTATTAACGATCTTCAAATTTCTTACATAACTGGAAACTTTTCTGTTTACTGTGACCTGTGTCTTTTTATTATACTGTGGAAATGCTGCATTCCGTTTCCTTAACAACGTCCATAATCTATCCTAAATCAACATCCTGCTGTAAAAAATTTTACTATTGTAGCATATGAACAAGTTTTTAGTTGGTTATCTAGATATTAGAACAAGTTCAAAGCTTCGACTCAATTACATTTTATGTGGATATTGCTAAGTATTTGTGAATTAAAAACTGAACTAAAAATTCACTATATCTTTAACTCTAAAAGCAGCGCAAATAAACGAGTTACAGCACGCTGTTCTTGAGGCTGCAGATAAACTAATACCGCACAAAATAATAAGGATTAGGAATGGGCATCAACCATGATTTTCGGATAAATTATGAACATTGCTAAGCAAAACGGAATGCAGCGTTTCGACAGCATAATAAAAAGATCTGTAATTTTTATTTTCACCTTTAAAACAAGAACAGAGATACGTCTACCATTTCAAGGGCTGTTATTTCATGGTCACTTGCTTTAACGGTCATTTATCTTGATCTAAATTCGTTGATGTACTTGCATCTTCACCGAAATTTATTTGCATAGTTTCGTTGTATTTGGAGGAAACGAATATGTTATGTTGTTTTGTTTAAAGAAAAAAGAGAAGCTGCTATATTCTCTTATCATGGCTATTACAACTATATGTTACTTTTTCTTTTGTCAACAATTGAAATAAGAAAAACAACAATGGCCTTCGAAATTTCTTCTTACTTTGGTCGTGTATCAGTCTACTGGAACTACGCTAGCTCTTAACTTTAAATTTTGTGTGATTGTAGTACACAGTGGATGTTGATCATCCAACAGGTTTCAAGTCATTTGGACGCATTATCCGTGAGTTGGAAATATTTCAAATTTCTGATTTGATATAAGCTTTATTCTATCAGAATACAAGCGGAAATAAATTCCATTATAGTATTTTAACTAAAACTATCGAAAATCATAAAATAAATTCTGTGCGAATAGAGATTCGAACACATGAACTTAGCTTTGCAGTTAACTGACAAACTAAATTTACTGTTCTGTATCTATATTCTGTACAACAATTGAAGTTGTGTAATCGACTGGATGCTATCAGTAGTAATTTTTTTTGGTATGTTTTTAGAAAACTTCAAACCAATTTCAAACATTATTAAAGACACTTGAAATTTAAGTGCCATTTTGTAGCTCTCTTTATATGCTTTCTACACTATAATTTTCGTATTTCAACTAGGCATGCACCGAGCTTCGAGTTACCCTAAAACTCGAACCGAGTAACTCGAAATTCGAGCTACTCGGAATTCGAGCTACTCGGAATTCGAGCTACTCGGAATTCGAGCCACTCGGAATTCGAGCTACCCGAAAATTAAAGTATGTTTTTTTCTGATGGTTGTTATTCTCAGGCCTCCACATTGGAGAGGATCCCACACTTTTATACTATTTTGCATGTTAACTTCATTTTACACTTTTCTTAAGTGATCTGAACTCTTACGTCCCTTTAGTATTTTGCCGTAACAAAAATTTCGTTTGGCACTTAGAGTAAGGCATTTTTGATTTCGATTGAACATCGATTATCCGAAATCGAAAATGCACTTGCAAATAGAATGTTTTGCACTTACTCTAAGCTCGACCCGGTGCATACCTAATTTCAACTATTGTTGGTTACAGAGTTAGGAGGGGCTTTTTGATCGGCGGTCACATCTGAAATTTTGCGTCACGGAAGTAAAATATCATAACTCAGCCTGGTAGTAGTTCAAAAGTACCCTCAGAGAGTGGAGTACTTTTTTCTAGTAGTGTACATCTAATTTTCTACCAAACCGTTTTGCACGTTTAATTATACGCTAAACGTTGTTCTTAAAGTATGGAGCAGTAATGTTCTTGCCGTCGTATCCGCGTATTCGCCACTCTTGTTTCCCCCTGTATTCGTATTTTGTATGCCTTTTAGTACAATGCAGTTGTTACATGATCCATCATTATTATCGCCGCCATCAACAAATGTAGTACAAACTGAAGCAACTCCTACTGTTACAACACGAGCAGTCATAGAACGAAATACCTCTCGCTTATTAAGCTTAGATTTACTACGTGGTTTAATAATAATAGTGATGGTATGGGATCATTCACGCGACTTTGTATGTGACGGGAAATTACCAAAAGATCGTAACAATGAAGACTGGAATGGCCCGTTGCCTACATATGATAACAATGTCGGCTTATTTTTACAACGTTGGTTAACCCATTTTTGTGCACCTGGATTCTTTTGGCTCATGGGTATTGGTATGACATTTTTTTCAACATCGCGTTCTAAACGAGGTTGGTCAAATTGGCAAATAGTTAAACACTTTCAGATCCGTGGATTATTTCTTCTGTTCTGCGATCGTGTGGTAAATATACCTTGGTATGTATTTTTATATCGGAAATCAACATCGACAAGATCAGATCCATTAGGCGGTTTAATATCACTATTTGAAGTATTAACTTCATTGGGTTTAACTATGATGATATGCGGCTTATTATTACTTTGTATAGAATATTTAAGTAAAAAAATTAAAATTTTTATGCTACAAGGTGGTCAAATATTTTGTATGTTGCTTGGTGGAGTCTTTTTTGTAATATCAAATATTGTAGTTATACATTATCAAGATGGTGATCCTAAAGTGAAACCATTTCCTCGTATCGTTGATCCAACTAAAACGTTTCCACAATGTCTGGTTAGGGATCATTCATGAAGGTCGTCTGATCGAAAATGCCCTCTGGGGACGTACTTCACACGGCTAGTGGAAGAATGCTGCTATTCGTTCAGAGCTTCGATGGATCACGTTTCATTGATCCGTCCACTAGTGGAAATTCATAGTAGGTGTGTTCTTTGCCACTGATTGATCTAGTGTGTTCACCCTCGATTGATCCAGCGTCATTGGCCTTATGATGCTGGACTATTGGTCTCTACCAACCCATTTGCTGAAGCATGCTCATTTGAAAGAAAGACCACTAAATTCTATCGTTTTTTTCCGCAAAACAAGAGTAGCCGTGGCCTGGAAATATTTCTACTATGGACTGTGTCTTTTTATTATGCTGTCGAAATGCTGCATTCTGCTTCCTTAACAATGTTCGTAGTTTATTCGAAAACCATGGTTGATGTCCATTCCTAATCCTTATTATTTTGTGCGGTACTAATTTATCTGCAGCCTCAAGAATAGCGTTCTGTAATTGTTTTACTCGTTTATTTACGCTGCTTTTAGAGTTAATGATATACTGAATTTTCAGTTCAGTTTTTATGTCACAAATTACCTAATTGAGATTGGAATCGTCTTTTTATAGTCTATGCAACAATATGATGTTCATTTTTAAAATATATCAAAGGCTAATTTGAAAAATTTCACTAGTGTGAGAGCTTCTGTCAGGACAAATTCGAGAATCTATAACGAGATCGCACAGTGTTGCTCTTCCACAGCATCAGTATAATAACTGCTACAATTTGCAATCTGAAAATTTTTTCAGTTTTCCTTAGCAGAAACCTGTTGAAAAGCTTTTATGTTTTTGTACCAAAAACATTTTCTATGAAAAACTAAGATGAAAAAGTTTCATAACACGTACTATTTCAGACGGCATATCATGACCCTCCATCAATCTTACGCCCTTGTTTACGACTCTGCATTTAGACGGACTTTTAAAGTCTATTCGAGTCTAATGGGCTGGTATAGACTTACGTGACTTCAAAGTTCATTGAACTTTAGCAAGTCCGCAAAAGGCAGAATCTATCTAAGTCCATAAAAGTCCGCGCAAGGCCTTGACGTAGGCTTCTAGGGACCTAACGAGATCTTGAAGATTATTTCGTATTAGCTTAGACTTCCAGTCAAGGAAATCAAGAGCAGACCTAGTTTCTCTCTCTCCCTGAAAATCATATCATTCGAAATGACTCCCATAAATGTAACCGTTTACCACTAGAATTACTGTGCACCCAAGACACTTTTGAGAGAAAGATCGAGTAAATATGTTATCATCATGAAAATAAAAGAATAAAATACTCAGTATTGATTATTCAGAACTATTGTGGTTTGTGAACACCCTTTTACATTCTCCACGGGCATTCTTATCACTTTTGTTCTATTTTTCTCTTCATCAACAACATTAACAGCATAATAACACGTGGAAGATCATTAGGAAGCGGTGCAAAGCTTAGAAGAACGTCCTTTGTACAAGATCCCTTAGGTTTTTAGTATTGCCTGGTTCATAAGAAAGAGGTTATATTGTATATCCATTAATACCATGGATATCTATGTGTTTATGGGGTATAGCTGCTGGTTACTTTTTTGTTTCTTACCAACAAAAAAATTACGATTATTCTGTTTTATACAAGCCATGTTTTGTTTAGTTACCTTCCTATGCAACAATAACATTAAGTGGTTGTTCTTTTCTATGTCTCTTATTCGATCTATTAGTTAACAAGGCGATTCGCACCGCTGAAAGATTAAATGACAATGTGTCTGTACGACCAAATACTCAAGGACAAATCAGAAATTATGCTGGGCATGGAGTTTCAAGTGTGCACGTTGCTAATACAACATCTATAGATACAGATACTGTTAATACGAACAATTTAAGTTCAAATGAGACAGGATGTTTATTTTACTTTGGTTCCCCATTTAGCCGCGAATTTCCGTTTTGGCCATTTTGGGGGCGCTATATTTTATATCCATTATTGACAATGGGCCGTGTACCATTATTTTCTTACATTGTACACTGGTATTTGCTAGGTTTAAGTACACTAATAGTTCATTCATGTACTATTGGTTTGCCATTGCAATATCTACCAATATGGTGGTTTGGGTTAATCATTGTTATGCTTTTCTTATGCTTACCTTATTCAAGGTTCAAGGAAAAACAAGGATCCGAAAGTTTGTGGAGATTTTTATAAGCAAATCCTTAATACATCACATAATCATTCTATTCTATTCTGTAGATGCGGAGATTGTATTTCTTGAGCTGAAAGATCTAAAGTTTGTCTATCAAGATGTCCGCAATATAGTGGTAAACCAGATGGCGGAGTACCTTGTCTCTCACTAGGTAGCGTTAAAGAGCAGGATTTTTACGATTGCGAAACCTTGTCAACAAAATTTCTAACTGTTATTTGTGATTCTGAGCAACGTTTTCTTTACTGCAACCTAATCCTTGCACTGCCTCGTTGAATATCAGCTGAACAATGTAGGAAAAAAGTATTTTTCTATAAACAAGAATGCTCGTTTGTTTTTTCCGACCGAAACAACAGCTGTGTCGTTTCCTGGGTTACACGTGTTTGAGACATTAATTTGAGATTGTTAGAGTGCTCAAAAGGACCAAAAAAGTATTTCGAGGAATAACTTTGCTCTCTCAATTAAAATATATGTCGCAAGGCTCAATAACTGAAGATGTTTTTTTTAATTCTAATCTGTGTAAATGTTTCAGTTTTTCGTACTCGCTCTTTAAAACCAATAGTTTTCAGTAATCTATACTTTGTTCAAACTTATTAGAGCATCTACATAATCGATGAAAAATTTCCAGTTCCGTCGATTTTCATTATTATCGTTATGTGATTTTATAGAAATAATAGAAGAAAAACAATCAATAATTCCACATTAGTTGGTTTGTCACGTCAAGAAGCTAATTATGTTTTAGTAAATCAAACATTTTGTCTGGTTTAATGTATCATTGGATCTATCTACAACTAATTGATAAATCAATGCCTACACTGTGAAAAAATAGGTGCATTTTCGAATAAAAAGTGCACTTCACGTGAATCAAAGATGACTTCATTTTTGATCAGTAAGATGAAATTTCCATGTAAAAGACGCGCTGCGACGCCTTACGAAAGTGGCTGGATTCCAATTTTATGTACCCATAGCATCTTGGTGAGACATCATGGAT